TTTTTTCCAAATGCACATGAAACAGTCTCCAGGATAGATCACATGCTGGGCCAAAAAACAAGTGAGGGCAACAGATCAGGAGTTAATTGCTATTGAAAAGATAGATTGTTATTCTTGTATTCAAGCATTTATTGCTTATAGACTTTTGGACAGCAGCAATCCTGACTGATGTGTAATGCAGTACCCCTGTCTTTATTAGTGCATTCATTCATTTAATAAATCTTTAGCTGAACACTTTACATGTGCAGCATACCATGCTAGTTGTTCTGGTGATTAAATTAGCCTCTAAGACAGTTGATAACTTAGTGATCAAGAGTACAGGAGCTGGAGTTAGACAGAAATCCAAACTCTTGCATTAGAGCCCAAACTCTCTCCGTTACTATATGTGTGACTTTGAGAAAAATACTGTCTGAGCTTTCATGTGCTCATCTGTAAAACAGAGAAAATAAAGGTTTCCAAGTCATAGTGTGATTGTGAATATCCAAGGGTTTCATGAATATTAAGTCTTTTAGCATAGTGCCTAGTGGGGACCCAGCACTGGTTCCCCAGCTCATGTGAAAACATTAGCAATTGTGAAAACAGACAGCCCCCTACGAGCTCCCCAACTTACCCTGTAGGACCTTACAGTGGAGACCCTTCTCTAGAAAGTGCTGAAACTGGCATACAAGTAATGTCTCATGAAAGCATTGGCAAAGGTTCTTTCTTCAAATATTTGAAGGCTGTCTGGTATAAAAGGACTTTGACATTCTACAAGATATGAGAATTTAGCCAAGACCAATGAATGAAGACTTGTCCTAGCACTGGCAGAGGAGGCCAGTGCTAAATGGGGCTACCTAAATATATGGTGAGTTCCCCATGACTACAGATGCTTAGAGACACTGCACAGCATCGTTCTAAGATGTTGAAGATAACATCTGAGCACTGTCATGCTGAAATATGACCCTTGAAAATAAAAGTCGCTCAGCCGTGTCCAACTCTTTGCAACCCCATGGACTATATAATCCATGGATTTCTCCAGGCCAGAATTTGGAGTGGGTAGCCTTTCCTTTCTCCAGGGGATCTTTCAAACCCAGGGATCAAACCCAGGTCTCCCACATTGCAGGCAGATTATTTACCAGGTGAGCCACAAGGGAAGCCCAAGAATACTGAAGTGGGTAGCCTATCCCTTCTCCAGCAGATCTTCCCAACCCAGGAATCAAATCAGGGTCTCCTGCATTACAGGTGGATTCTTTACCAACTGAACTATGAATGAAGCCCTAATATGACCCTTAAGGTCACTTTTTTTTTAACTTTTTATTTTATATTGGAGTACAGTCAATTAACAATGTGATAGTTTCAGGAGGACAACAAAGGGACTCAGCCATATATATACATGTATTAAGGTCATTTTTAATCCTGAAATTCCATGGGTAATTATTTCTGGTCAGGAGGAGCAGAGAAGCTGCCACAGGCAGGGAGAACTTGAGTTGAGCTTGAAGGATCAATGGGATTTTAATAGAATGCATACAATCATTTCCTGCAGGGGGCACTGTCTGTGCAAATGCATGGAGGCCTGGAGAACAGAGTAAGGACAGCTGGGATGGAAGATCACAGCGCCCAGCTAAGAAGAGAGTAAAGTACAACATGCAACATCGCCTGTGGCTGCCCCACTCCCCTCATAAAGCAAATGCCAGAAGTTGACAATCTACGAAAAAGATTCTACAGTATCCCAAGGTGGTGGGTGGTGGTGGTGGCGGTTTAGTTGCTGAGTAGTGTGTGACTCTTGTGACCCTATGGATTGTAGCCTGCCAGGCTCCTCTGTCCATGGGGATTTCTCAAACAAAATTACTGGAGTGGGTTGTCATTTCCTTCTCCAGCAGATCTTCCCACTCCAGTGATTGAAACTACGTCTCCTGCACTGCAAATTGACTCTACTGCTAAGGCACCAAGGAAGCCTACAGAATCCCAAAGTAGGATACAATGGGGCAATATTATCACACACACAGTCACATCATTGCCTGACACTCTAAATCTACAGCCCACCTTGGTGATCACCAGACATAGGTTTGGACAGTCCCTGACTGAGCCCACTGTTGGGGGGCTGCATAGTTTCTTTCAGGCTGGTGTTTAAGTCCAGGTAATACAAAGAGAACTAGGACACAGCAACTGGTCCAACCCTAGTCTGAAGAAAGACCAAGTGCACACCTGGGGTCAGGCCCCACACCCAGGACCCAGAGCACAGAGAAATGTGGGAAATACATGGAATCTGGAGTCAGGAGACCTAGGTTCAAGTCCAAGCCGGCCACTCCCTCCATATAGCCTCCGAAAAATTATTTGACCCCTCTGAGGCCCATGTGCATGCTAAATCTTTTCAATCATTTCTGACTCTTTGTGACCCTGTGGACCATAGCTTGGCAGACTCCTCTGTCCTTGGGATTCTCCAGACAAGAATGCTGAGCTGGGTTGCCGTGCCCTCCTCCAGGGAATCTTCCCAAGCCAGGGATTGAACCTGAGTCTCTTATGCTTCCTGTAATGGCCAACGGATCATCCATAAAGAGCAGACCCTAACTCTCTCAGTTGATTCAAGAGGGACTGTATGAAAAGTGCTTTACTAAATTACATAAAGGTCAATTGTTTCTATATTAACATCTCTCTGTTGGCTGTGTCATAGGCTCCAGCCTGAAATCTTGGCTAAAGAAAATTAGACTCTGCCTGAATTCCTTCTTCTGGGATTCTCCGACCTCAGGGCCCTGCAAGGGCCCCTGTTCTGGGGGGTGTTGCTGGTCTACCTGGTGGCCTTGCTGGGTAACTGTCTGATCACCCTCCTCACATAGGCCAGCCCCACCCTGCACTCTCCCGTGCACTTCTTCCTGCGCCCCCTCCCCCTGGTGGAGGTATTCTACACCACTGACATTGTGCCCAGGACACTGGCTGACCTGGCCTTCCCGCACCCCTGTGCCATCTCTTTCTGTGGCTGTGCAGCCCAGATGTATGTCTTCATTGTCCTGGGCATCTCAGAGTGCTGCCTGCTCACAGCCACGGCCTGTGACTGCTACACTGCCATCTTCCAGCCCCTACACTGCTCCGCCCTCATGAGCTGGCGGGCCTGCATGGCCATGGTGGGCATCTCCTGGCTCATGGGCATCATCACAGCCACCACCCATTCCTCCCTCATCTTCACCCTGCCTTTCCCCAGCCACCCAGTCATCCCTCACTTCCTCTGCAACATTCTGCCAGTACTGACATTGGCAAGTGCTGGGAAGCACAGAAATGAGGTCTCTGTGATGATGGCCACTGTGGTCTCCATCATAGTCCCCTTCTCTCTGATTGTCACCTCTTATGTCCACATCCTGAGTGCCATCCTGACAATGGCCTCCACCTGAGATGCTGAAAGGTCTTATCCACTTGTTCTTCCCACCTGCTCGTGGTCTTTCTCTTCTTTGGAATGGCCAGCATCACCTACATCCGGTGCCGGGCAGGCTCCTCTGTCACCATGGACTGCATACTCAGCCTGTTCTACACGGTCATCACACTCATGTTGAACCCCATCATCTACACCCTTTAGAACAAGGAGGTGACAAAAGCCTTGTGGCTTGTGGTGAAGAGGCAGGTCCCCTCATCCTGAAAAGACTCAGGGGTTGTCTGCTCACTCACTCACTGATGCTCCTCCCAGCCCCCAGATGCTAGTTTAAAACCCAGCCGACCAGAAGCCGTGAGTGTGTCTGTGTGCGTGTGTGTGATCACACACAGTCACTCAGCCATGTCTGGCTCTTTGCAACCCCATGGACTGTAGCTCACCAGGCTCATCTATCCATGGAATTTTCCAGTCAACAATACTATAATGGGTTGCCATTTCCTCCTCCAGGAGATCTTCCCAACCTAGGGATCAAATTCATGTCTCTTGTGTCTCCTGAATTAGCAGACAGGTTCTTTACCACTGCACCACCTGAAAAGACCCATGCAGCATCTCAAAAGGATTAGTCTTCCTGGCAGAAAGGGTTGACATTAAAACAGAGAGAAATCTCAATCTTACCTCCTCTCCCACACCCCAGACTCACTCTCAAAGAATGAGTTATTAGAGCAATGCAGAATGGGAAGGAATGCTTACTACGGGGAAGAATACTGAACAACTTCTAGGTTGTTCTGGATCCCTGAGCAAGGTGATTGTCATGGCTACACCAGTCATCAGAGGTCCATGTCAGTCATGAAGGCACATGTCTATGAAGGTGATATCCAACTAAGTGACACACCTAGAGGTCATGGAGTTTACCTTGCCCCCCATCTCCTTTCTCCCAGAAACATACTGCAATCTTATGTCCTGGATGCCCTTTAGAAGAGAGGGAACTGTTATCCCCTTGAAGTATTCCACATGAATGTTCCTCCCTGCCTTTCCCCATCCTTGATTTCTGACATCGTCCTTAACTGGTGATAACATGTCCAACTGTCAAGAGCATCTCCTCAGTGTCCCCTGTTCTTCTCCCAACCTGTGTCATCACCTTGATCCCAGACCTCCTTCCCTGGCACCTCAGAGCCTGAGGCCCTGAGGTCACGCTGGATGGGAATTGGAAAGTGGACACTTAACAGTCACTGTGGCCGTCCAGCATTGGACCCTCCTTCATTGTTAGAAGAATCCTTCACTTTAGAAGTCTGGTGGGGAGAAAAACTATCTCATTCTGAGAGCTGAGAATAGTTCTTAACCCCCCACCCAGGCACATGACCCGTTTCCACCAGTTGGAGGCACCATTGCCTAACTTTGACTGAGGCTCCAGTGACAACAGCAAAGAAGTCTGCAGCTGAAGAAGCAAGTTCCTGCTGTAGAAGTGGCATCTAGTCCCTCATGACAACATCAATGGTTTCCTCGACTGGCCAGATCATGTTTGGGAGTTACTCCTGGTTAAAGATTGATTTATTCTTTGGAGGTGTTTCTGGAAGGCTTCCTGGAATAAGTGACTTGATGTAGTGTTTCCAACCTTCTTCACATCATGGCACACATACAAAGTACTCATATTTCAGGGCAAACTGAAAGGGATTTTGAGGCATCTAGAAAGGACTTGCCCTTGGAGGAGGGCATGGCAACCCACTCCCATATTTTTGCCTGGAAAGTCCGTGGACAGAGGAGCCCGGCTGTGGGCTGCAGTGGGCTGCAGTCCATCGGGTCACACAGAGTCAGACAAGACTGAAACAATTTAGCACACACACAGAGAGGACTTGATGGAAAAAATTCAATGCACCCTCTTTTTACTATATGATTATTGGGAAAATAAAATATATAATAATATAGAAGTTTTTAAATACAGATTTTACATAAGGCTTCCAAATAAAATGTTTAAATGTTTATAAGGAGCTTGCTTCTGTGAACATAATTTTTATATTAGGTTTTGTGCTTGAAAAATGACTAAACACCTCCTGATCAAAATGTTTTATTTATTTTTAATTAAACTATAGTTCATTTCTTGATCAAGCCTTTAGAGTACTAATTTCTTAAAATAACTATGTTCATGATAAGTGAAAACTGCTCACAGAAGTGGATGATAAAAAATGTAAAACCTTTTTCAAAGTCATTTAAAATTTTTCAATAGTTGAAATTATTATATATTTATATTATTATAAATTATACATTTATATTTACTAGCTCTTTCTTTTCTTTTATTTACAAGGGTAATCTTGAAAGTCCTCATTTATAATGAAAAAGAATTTCATATCCAATCATACTTTTCATGCACATTGAACATATGTAAATTGTTAGCACACCCTCTGTGAAGCCAGCTAGATATCACAAGAGGGCACATAAGCAGGGAACAGACAGAAGATCCAGGACCACTGTGGACAGCTGGACTCTCAGGAAGCCCCTTGAATGTCCCACCCTTCTACCACGAGGGCCACACCATGGGCTGTGCACCGCATTCCATGGTCACATGGGAAGCCCACCTCCTCCACAAGTCCCTCATCCACAGTGGGCAGCAGGACAGGCAGGAACTGGCTGTAGGGAGCAGGCATGCAGGTGGCAGAGCCCTCTAGGTGCCCTGCAGCATCTGTGATCTTCCCAGATGAGGAATCAAACTCATATCCCCAGCACTGGACCACCAGGGAAGTCCTTAGTCTTTGAACCTCACACATTAGCCAGTTTGCCCTCAAGGTTTTCATAGCAGTAGCCTACTAACTGGGCTTCCCTGATATTTCATAGGGTCTCAAAGAGTCAGACACAACTAAGCGACTGAACTGAACTGATAGCTCAGTTGTTAAAGAAACTGCCTGTAATGCAGGAGACCCTGGTTCAATTCCTGGGTCAGGAAGATCCCCTGGAAAAGGGATAGGCCACCTACTCCAGTATTCTTGGGCTTCTCTTGTGGCCCAGCTGGTAAAGAATCTGCCTGCAATGTGGGATTAAACAAAAACTGCTCACAGAAGTGGATGATAAAAAAAATGTAAAACCTTTTTCAAAGTCACTCAAAATTTTGCAATAGTTGAAATTATACTTAAATATATATTTATATTTACTAGCTCTTTTGTTATTTACAAGGGTAATCTTGAAAATCCTCATTGATAATGAAAAATAATTTCATATCCAATCATACTTTCATGCACACTGAACATTTTCTTCTTTGATGTCAGTGTTTTATGTCTAATCGGCAAGAAATCTAAATCTTGTCCCAATATGTTTCTGTGATTACTCCTCTTCATTAACTGGGTGGTATTGAAGTTATTTATTGCCACCTAACAAACCACCCTAAATCTAGTGGCATAAAGAAACAGGCAGTTTACATGATCCCTATAGTCTAGGAGTTTAGAAAGAGGACAGCAAGGATGTCTCTTCTCTGCTGCTCCATGTCTCTGTCATCAGCCAGAAGAGCTTCAGTAGTTATAAGGGACTTGAGCAGTGAGAACTGTCATCTAACAGTTCTTCATTCACTTGTCATATGCCAGCAATGACTGGGTTTATTCACCTACACATGACCTCTCTATGAGCCTTGGATTTCTCACGGCATAGCTGCTGGTTTCCAAGAAGTAGCATTCCAAGAGCAAACATCCCAAACCGAAAGCCAAGACAAAAGCTGTGAGGCTTCTGTTGTCCTAACCCTGGAAGTCACACAATATTATTTCCACCACCAACCGCGTGGGTCACTAAGGAAAGCCCATATTCAAGAGTAGGAGGCAGAGTCCACCTTCTGATCCAGGAGAGTTACAAGGTCCCACTGCCCTGCATGGAGGCGAGGGGCTTCTCCTCTGGTACTTCCAGTGGCTAAGACTCCAAGCTCTCAATGAAGGACACCTGGGTTCAATCCCTGATCTGGGAAATAGATCCCACATGACTCACGTGGCAACTAAGAGTCTGCATGCCACAACTAAAGATCCCATATCCTAACAAGGAAGATCGGAGATCCCATGTGCTGCAACAGAGGCCCAGTCCAGCCAAATAAATCAAGTAAATAATCTTTAAAGTGCATATGGGGATTTATTTGGTAGTCCAGTGGTTAAGACTCCCCACTTCTACTGAAGGGGACATGGAGCCAATACCTAATCAGGGAACTAGGATCCCAATATGCCCCATGGCATTACATAAATTTTGGAAAAAAAAAAAAAAGTACATGTGGAATGGGAGAGATTGCTGCTGCAATGTTTGGGATATGTTATCTGTTAGAGATAGATTATCAAGTAATCTAAGAACCTATGTGTGTGCATGCTAAGTCATGTCCAACTTGTTGTGACACCATGAACTGTAGCCTGCCAGGCTCCTCTGTGCATAGGATTCTCCGGGCAAGACTACTGGAGCGGGTTGCCCTGCCCTCCTCCATGGGATCATCCCGACCCAGGGATTTAATCCATGTCTCTTATGTCTCCTGCATTTGCAGGTGGGTTCTTTACCACTAGGGCCACCTGAGAAGCCCCCAAGAGCCTATGAAAGTGAAAGCAAAAGTCGCTCAATCATGTCCGACTCTTTGCAACCCCACCGACTATACAGTCCATGGAATTCTTCAGGCCAGAATACTGGAGTGGGTAGCCTTTCCCTTCTCCAAGCACCCAAAACAGGCCAGATCAGGGCCCAAAGAGCAGGCTGCAGGGGGCGAGCTCTGAGCAGCAGTGCCCTCGAGCTGGGCAGGCTAGGGGCCCCGACACACCGCTCGGGGCCAGGGCTTCTTTCTCACGTGAAAGTTTCCAAGAATCAGGCCCTCCAACAACGAGAGGGGGTCAAGGCCTCCAGAGGTATTTCTTCACAAGCCGCCTCATGGCCCCTGTGACCTCCTCGTTCCTCAGAGTGTAGACGAAAGGGTTGAACATTGGAGTGACAACCGCATAGAAGAGGGCAAGGATCTGGTCCCTGGCCTGGGAGGAGCCTGTCCCCAGCCTCATGTAGGCAACGATCCCCGTCCCAAAAAAGAGCGTGACCACAAGCAGGTGGGAGGAACAGGTAGAGAAGACTTTCCGACGTCCCTGGGATGTCGCGACGCCAAGGATGGTGACAAGAATACAGGCATAGGACACTATGATCAGTGAGAAGGGTGTTAGGATAAAGGCTATGGTGACGGCAAGATTGGCCACTTCACCCCAAAAGGTGCTGGCGCTGGCCAGGCTCAGCACGGGAAGGATGTCACACAGGAAGTGGTGGATGGTGTTGGCACCGTGGAA